CCAGTGCAAAGTGAATGTGGCATAATGGCAAAATCTGCAGTGTAGGTATTTTTTTAGGCAGCAGAAGAGGGGATTGCCAGCATATCCCTATGGAGGTGCCACATGTGGCAGCCGCCATCCCACACATGAGAGCATATAGGGTTACAGCCCATAACTCTGATTATAAATCATATAAAGTCACAAAAGCTTAGTGGTTACTGGAGAAAAGAAGGTTTAACACCTGGACGCCATGCAATTAAAGTGCAAATGTGAATGCATTTGGATAAGGCTCCATTTAGTGGTGTAAAGTTACTTCTAATTACAAAATCTGTGCAACAGCATTACCTTTTCAAAACAAGGGTGTTTTCACACAGACATCCCCAGTAGACATCCCCGCCCCTTCTATCTGGGAGCCTTGAGCCTGCTAGGCCCACTGGTGCTGGAATGAGACAAGAGATAAGCCCATAGTTGGCCTCTATCAACACATGAGGCTTGCCAAAGCGAGTAAAGTTACAGACAGGCACTCCTCCGGGGCTCAGGGACGGGGGTGCTCAGACACTGGAGGCTGCTAATCTGCCCGCAGCAAGCCCGCTGATGCCCACCATCTGTGTCTGTAACTTATCACCCACTGACCAGGAGCCTCCACAGGCACACACACAAGTAAACAAATGCCCAGAGAGAGCCAGCTAATTCTCTACTTGGCTCTGTTAATTACTGATCATCAGTACCACCCAAAAGGCAGAGAACAGGAGAGGGGATAATGAGGAGTCAGCAGTGAATAGAGGCCCAGTGACTTCAGATTGTTTCATTATCCCCTTTACAGAGCAAGTTAGTGTCAGAAAGAAAACAGCAAAATCACAGCGCACATGTACAAAAAAAAACTATTGTGACAGGTTTAATTATCACCAGTAGGGAACGAAGGCCGAGTCAAGTCAACAGTCAAAATAGTGTCAGGAAAAATGTGCTTTTTCCTTACGCTTCATTTACTTGACAAGACTTCACAGCCATAATTGTGCAAGCCTCTGGCACTACTGAGCCAGGGGATGTAGAGGGTTAAGAGGTCGGGAGGATGGGTGTGGGGTGGGGGTGGGGAGGTCAACTGATGGAGATTAAATGAAATGCCTAAAACTCCTCAAGGAGTATGACAGCCACACAGGTGTGCAGCACTTACCCCCACATAACCCCCACAGACCCATCATTTGGAGCTAAAATATCCTTTAGGCATAGAAGCAGGTGATTAGCAGACACAATTACTGGGCCTCACTTACCTTTTCACCATTCACCCATATGTATGAATCTTTCTTGACTGAGACAGCCTTGTTTCTTAACATGATTTGAACCCTAGAACCCCTTATAAATAGTTTTTAGGCTTTTTTAAACATCTGCTAAGGGACCACATGAGAGTGACGGGGGGGTGGGGGGGCTATGTCTTTTTTATTTGTTTAAGGGTGGTTTAAAGTCCTAGGGGAAGCATGAGGGGGTCTCTTAATTTTTTCATGCCCCAGATTTGTATTTTATTGACCTTGCTCTAGTGAGATGTATTGTAAAAAATATAATTCAATAGTTACATCAAAGTGTTAAAAAGTTAACCTACCATACATATTCAGCACAGCACAACCTGTTCTACTAAAGGGTAAAGTGAAATGCTTGTGCTCTGAAGTCCCTCAGCTTTTGCCCCATTAGCCTTTTCAGCTAGAGTGATAATAACTGTTCCTTTAGCTCTTGGTTCAAAAATAAATAGCACACTTTTGCCATCATTTTGGCAACTGGTAATTCTACTCTTGTCATTGCTCTCTATAAAATATTGTTAGAACAGTTGAGAAATTAGGATGGAAAGTGCTGTATTAAAGGAGTGGCCAAACCAAATATTAAGAAGGTTCTTATTTTTAAGAGTAAAACATATGACCCCCCCTCCCCCCAGTAATTTTCGTATGGTCCCTAATGCAGTGTGGTGTGTCCACTGGGAGTAGCTGGAATGAGAACTGTGATGACATTTAAAGTACTTTGCTAAATGCACTCATGAGAATTTCTGGGGTGTTATTCTATGTTAAATTTACCAGTATTAACCATTTATACAGCCATTTGTAGACCATAAGTGGGAGGAAAAGTATACAATGGAAACAGCATAGGTGCCAAAACTACTATTTCTAATGTACACAGATCCTTGAATATCACATATTGGAATAGTTGAGCCTGTAGGCACTACTCCAGACTTAAAAACATTAGCAGGCATTTATAGCATTATTTAACAGTATTCTCTGTTTGGGGTGTTCACAAATAGCTCAGAGCAGCCAGACGATGGAGAAGCTGTGTATGGAAAGAGAAATGTCATGTTTCCATCCAAAAGTAACCTGCACCACCAATGCATGGAGAATAGGCTGATTCATAACATATTGTACAAACATTACAACGCTGTCAAAATAATAGGCAGGTATAAATAATTGGTCGTAAAGTCTTGGATGTTGAAAAGATAAAGGAGAGGAAAATAAAATGTAAGGCTTCTCCTTTGGTAGATGAACATGAAGTCTACACAGGGATGATTCAATTATTCATTCCAGCCCTTGCACAAGGATCACCCCTCATAATGCTCCTTGCACAAAGACTAATGTTTTCCCTGGGTGCAATAAATAACTTTTTATTCCCACTGCCATAGAGAGCTCACCTGCACACACAGTCACAGCGTCTGCCCTCATATTTGTTACTGCAGCTTCTTAATTTGACCTGAACCAACCTGTCATGCTCCGTCAAACGTGGGAATCGGATACCTAAGGAACACAGGCGCCTTTGCTTTGCGTTATGCCATCCCCCCAGTGCCTTAACACACTGAGCCTGGGAGCAGAGAGAAAGTCACCCACATCACATGAATCAAGCACTGTGACAGGGGTCCGTTGGGTCTGGGATCACAAGGAGGATCACAAGTCTCTCTTTTTACTGCACCCTCTCCCATCTCTATTAGCTGGGGATGAGAGAGGCGGGATGGCCCTCTGAAGGGATATATTTCCGTTGATGAAGAGATAAATCAGATCATTTCTGGAGTAAGGAAGGGAGCACAGAGAGGGCCTTCTTGGTCATCCCCCTTTGAGATGTAAATGGCACGGTGGCACTGAAAGAGGGCCAGGTGTCCGATGCAAAGAGGGAAAACGTGAGGGTGCATGCATTCCTCACGGACCTAGACCATTAACTGTTGCTATGCCTCATGTGGGCAAACATCAACAGATCCCATAATGGTCCATAACGTCCTGGTGGAACGACAGTGTGGTTAATAGACAGGTAGGTTACTCTTTTACAAGGTTGTAGTAATATTGACAACATACACAAAATATTCATGCATCCGTTATCTATACTGCTTATCCTGAGACAAGGACTAGGTCCAAATTACCTGCAACTTGCTGCACTCTCTTTTAGTTACTACTATAAGCCCCTGGTGACCAGATGTCAACAGCTGCAGCTCACGCTTTGCAGGACAATTAGAAATGAGTTATCAGGCTTACTGAGGTCACCAGAGTAGCAATTTGCCATGAACTATTAAAAGCCTTAGGCAAAACAAATATCCCATACTTCAAGGAGAAAAGAGGCATTTGGCAGTTCAAACAGTAAATTAAGAAAAGAATAGCAACCTACCATTAGTCTAAATGAGGAGTGACCCCTTTGCGGGAAACCGTTTAAGCTGAAGGGAGCCCTCAAGGAGAAAGGTCAAAAAGTTGAATCCTTACACTCCTACAAAAGTGGTCATACAGATAGACACCGTGCCATGGAGCCCCATTTGATAGGGCTTGTACCACAGAGTCCATGTGACATGACAGATTTGACACAGTGCATTATTAACCTACATATTGGAGAGAAAGAAAATGTATCATTGTGGTGTAAATTATACTAATAGTCATTATACTAATCTTTAACAGTGAGGTTCTAAGGCTGCTTTAAAATCTTTGTACCTGCACTGCTGTTTAGCAAACATTAGACTAGTAGGCCAACATGTTGGCCCCCAGGAAGTGGCAAGTTAATTTAGCTTACCATAAATACTGAAAACACTGTGAAACTGGGTAACAGCCAGATTCTACCCAAAGGTACAAATATGCCTACCAGCATGCCTAAAAATCACCTATTAAAGTCAAATGATAGCCCAGAACATACCCAACAACTTTTTCATACAAATGAGATGCAAGGTGTTATTTAATGCCATACTAAGCTATGCTGTTATCCAGTTGTTGGCTCCATATACATATTTAGCATAGCCTACAAATAAAGCGGTATCAACCTTCTCATCTAATTATCAGTATCAAAACTAATAAACAAATTTTCCAAAAATCTAAACTACGCCAAAACAATTCTTTTAAGCCATGACACCCCTTTATTTATTTAGTTTTTTTAAATGATATCCATCAAGCCCATAATACAGACATGCAAGTCTGCGTGTTATGTAGACTTTTACAAACTAACAAAACAGACGACACAATTTCAAATAAGCCAGGAGTTTTAGGCTATGCTGATGTTCAGATTTGCAGATAAATATTGAACTTCAAAGAAACAATTAGCTAAATACGGAGTATGATAATTGTTTAAAAGTTATTTAGTGGTTTTGCTCAGTCCAACATGTTCTACAAAAAAAGCCTCAAGCACGGCATGGCTCTGTATTTCCCAAAGAAGTGAGGCTGGTTCTTGTCACATCATGCCATTTAACTGGGGCACTACTGCAAGGATCTTAAAAGGAATTTTAATTCAATGGCCATTGAAAGGTCACTTTAAAATGGCATGTAAAATGTAGTTAATAAAATTCTTTTTTATAAGGTGAAACATCCTTAAAAATGTACATAACATAAAGGAACACACCTTTGGTGCACCCCTGGTGGCTTCTTAAAACAGCTTCATTTCAAAGTGATGACTCCGCTGCCCCACCTGCTGGTGTTTAGGAGACATCGCAAACAAGCAGGCAGAAAGGTCAACATGTCAAAATACATTTACTCTCACCATACTACAGGATTATGGGCTTATGGTAATCAGTAAACATGGACCACAAATGTGTAACAAAGTTTTATTTGTAAATTTAAACTCAAGATGATGCATAGTGCCCCATAGTTGTCAAACTTTTTTTTAACACTATTGTAAATGGTACAATAATACCAATCTGTCTTTAGAGAAAGAAAAACATTTGTCACAAAAGTTGCAAATGAATACTTCCTAGTGTTACAAACATTGATCTGAAACATACTGTCCTAACTGCAAATGATTTAGAGATGTCACCTCTGTGGCTTCTGTAACTGCTCAATAAAATAAAGCATTATACACTGAAAAATAGACTTCATTACAAAACAAAGTATTTTACATGCTGTATCTACACAGAGTATTAAATTAAAGTAGATCAGTGAAATAAACCAAGCGCTCAAAAATCTACTGCATACTGGTGAGTGACTGCTTAAAAATGTTATTCCTTTAAATCCCATTGCTTTTTGTAAATAATCTAGCAGTTTTTTATATTATTTAAACAAAAAATATTTAATGTGCTTATGCTTGTTATATACTCTTTGTCCAACACGTTCCTCAAAAAAGCCTCAACCACTGCATGTCTCTCCATATTGCCCAAAGAAAAGAGGCTGGTTCTTGTAAGAGAAATGCTACAAACATCCCAGTACATCTTGAGTGATCCCATGATCTCTCTTCGCTGTACTAACAAAGTAATCCTGGCCACAGGTAGTGGTTGCACACCGTCTCAAACAACAGTCTTGATTTTCACTTTGGAAATTCTAGCACAATCTAAAAAAAGAATAGACCCAATGCCAAGAGGAAAAGTCAGCACCATTAGGTAATTTGCAATCACTTGCTGTCCAAGTTGCAACAGGCAGCACAAGCACAAACACATATATTATACAGATCCTTATTTGGCAAAGACAGCTTTAGACAGGAATGTGTCATAGAGTGAGGAATGTCCAGTGTTCTCTCCTCTCCGCTGCCCAAGTTAACATGAATTACTGCTGCACTAAAGTGGCTGCAAGTGCCTGGCACAGTGGCTACTGGAGTTCATACACACTTAAACCACATTAATTCAACTGACTGAAAAAAGTAATCATTTGTGCACTAGCAGGGCACGCACAAATTTCATGTTTAAATTGATCTTTAAATAAATAATGCCTGTACACATGGTGTGACTTATTTTCAGCAATTCAGGAAAATGATTGTCTATTCAAATCTAAGAACAAAAAACATGAAATGCACAAATTTCCCCACTGGAAAAAAAAAGGTACACTCTGTCTCAAAAAAATATCCCAAGCCTAATGAATCCCATCCCTACTGTAATCAGCTTTCTGAACAGGTAACCTAACAGGATTTATGGCTGGAACTGCTGCGAGGCTGCCCTCTAGTGAACCAACCCACCAGTGAAGTTAATGGCTGAGGAAGTTGAAAAGCATGGAGTTTATATCAGGAATGTACATCCACAGTTGTGCAGTATTACTAATTTACTCAACAGTGTTGAATCTGGAAATGTACAGGAAAATCTTATAAGCCTTATAAGTTCCATTTCAACCACAGCTGTGTGGAAGAAAAAACAAACAAACAAACAAACAAACAAAAAAAATCACTTTTTTTCCCAGTAAGTCAGTAACGTGCTTCCATTACAAACAGAATACCAAGACTTATGGTCTGAATGAAAGCATTACGAAGAGGTAATAGCATCACATGAATAAAGTGTGTAAACTGTGTGTAGTTTTACACTTAGCAATGATGCTTTAGTGTATACCAGTAATATCATAGGCAAAATGGTGTTTAACATGAATAAACATATACAAAAAATGTCAACATTAGTGATGCTGGCCAGTCAGAGACCTTGGTAAGGATAGATCGTTGTTGGCTGAAGGGCGCTGGTCCCTCGTCCACACATACTGGCTGCTGTAGAGCTACAGGTACGTATCCAGCTCTGTGCTGCTAAGGCTCTGTGTGGATTGCTGATGAGGAGAATCTTTGGCAGGGGCAAGGTCTGTAGGAGGTGCACAGTGCTGGTGAGGTGAGAGTGTTTCAGTTTGTGGCACAGTTTGTGGCACAGTCTCTGGCGTCTTGCTGGTGACCGGTGGCATGGCAGGTGGGTCTGAGGGTGGAGGTGAATGCTCATTTGGAAGAGGGTAAGGGTTAGGGACCTCCATAATGGGCTGGGATTTCTTCTTGCTCTTCTTCTTCATGCTCTGCTTCTCCTCTTTGCCCTTCTTCAGCTGCGAGGTGGGCTGAGGCACCTCAAGTACAATGGTGGGGTTCTGCTTCAGATCCTGGCGCCTGGGTGGGTCAGCCAACAAGACGAGCCGAGCACCGTGCATCCTTGGAGGCGGTTTGAGATTGAGCTCTCCACGGGTCTTCCTCCAGCGCTTCAGCTGGGTGTGGTGCTCTTTTTCCACATCTCGTGATGTCACTGGCACCTCTAGAATCTGCAACAGGAAGAGATGCATCACCAGGTCACAGCAGATCATAATCAAAGAAAATGTGATGAAACAGGATCAGCCTCTGCTGGAAAATATGCTCTTTCTATGTTTCATAGTGGTAAGAATGTGAACTTTGTCAGTAAATGCCAAAGGGTCTTGGGGCTGCTGTGGACACAGTGTCACGCACAGCCGAGACAGGCCTGTGTATAAGAGAGGCATTGTTAGAGTGGACAGACACTCACAGAGGAACCAGACACTGCCGGAGCAGCACTCTGGTCAGATTGTCTCTCTGTCACTTTATTTCTCCCTCAGACTCTCTGCTGTTCCATTGACTACATTTGTGAACATTTAGTGTTCTCAGTTCTCAAACTACATTTTCACAAACAGTAACAGCACAATGCTGCATCATTTAAGGATCATGCCAGAACAAACAAGCTTGGCCTCCCATGTGTAATGCTATTTACATTGATTAAGTGTGGAAAATGCTCCACTACTCCACAATAAAATAAAAGCTGGTATGATGTTTCTTAGGAATGAACAGGTGATGTCTAGTAGTGCTGTATCCAATTCCATGGTTGATGCAAGTGAACAGCAAAACAACAACTTAAAAAAACATTGGAAACATATAAGTAATTGTTACAAATCAGCTAATGAAAATCCAAAATCACTGAATATCACTTGGGTTGTACTTTGCATCAACTGTCATTGTAGCCTCAGATAAGCAAATCTAAAAATATCATGTGAATGAAAAAGGAAACTTTTCCATGCATTATGTATGTTTTCTGTAGGACCCAGCCCTTGTGTGACATGAACTTTCCTATTTAGCTAATTTAATTCCTGTCTCTGGTGGAGATTCCCTGCACAAACAGTTATGCAAGGCGAAGGCTTGCAAACAAGAGCACATGTATTTTGGTCAAAGGTTTGTCTCCCCAGTCACTACACCATGCTGCTCCTCTGCTCTTACCTCTCGGACGAGGAAGCCCTCCTGCATGTAACGAGGTTCTATGGCCCTTAGAAGCTCCATGGTTTCATACTGGCCCTGGCAGGCCTTCAGCTTCTCTCGGGTTCCCAGCATACACTTCAGCAGCACCAAACCCACACGGAAGATTATCTTTACTCCTGAGAGAGGGAGAAGAGCCAGGTAATTGTGTTGTAGAGCATGAAGACGTTCTGATGTACTGCTTCAACATCTAGTACCAGTGCAAATTCAGCACTGTAAACCACTGTTACCATCACAGAGGAACATGTCCCAAACACGCAGCACAGACGACCAAGGCAGCGTTCTGGAGAAGGCACACATAAACCATTCAGTCATGTAGAGGATGGGGTCGATCTTGTGCTTCTCCAGATGGCGGAAGGCTAGTGGGGAGACGCGCCGCAGCAGAGCAAACAGGATCTCTCCATCTAACTGTATAGCTTCCTGAAGGAGACACAAGTAGGACGGCATTAACAGAGTACTGTTCTCTGTACTGTCAGGACTGAAACCCAACATGCATGTGGATGTTCAGACATTAAAAATACACCAGTCCACATGCATCGCCAAGTGTAAATAGTTTCCCTCTGCGCATGACTAACCATATTATATAACTTCTTTCATAGCTTTATGTTATACTTTTATGAGGAAGCATTTCATTGGATCTTGCTTCAGTTATAAACAAATTACAAAATAAAAAGCAATAAAGCTGGACAGTACTACAATACAGTTCACTACTATATAGGTGAGTAAGTAACCTAATGTTCAAATTGGGGTCTGACAACTCCTCATTGTTTCATCAGTAACTTATAAACACTAAAGTCCTGTTTCTGCCAAAACAAAACTGGAATACACCCCAGACAGTTAGTGTGAACAGTGTTTCACCGTTTGTGAAACAGCAACGTCACATGAAGTCATATTCTCTATGCATGTCCAGCATCTTGTGATGGCGTTGTGTTTCATTCTCACCAGGCCAGGACTGTAGTAGCCTGGAAGATACTTCTCACAAATTTGGACCAGCCCCCAGAAGGCATCCTGTGGAAGTGATACAGATGATGTCATGATCTGCTCATGTAACAGGACATTTCTCTGTGTTCATGTGGGAGTTAAATAATAAAACTGAACATTGAGCGTGGACTTGATAATAACATGTTTTTTTTAAAGCCAATACATGGACAGACATTTTGTGACACACACATAAATACAGAGTTTTGCCAGAGATACTACTGTGCACTTCATTTGAATACATGCCTTACGGGCACAGTACGAACCAGAAAATTTGCCTACCCTTCATATAGTCACCGCAGCAGCTAAGAGTTGATCTATTTTTCAGTCTCTGGATCAGCTCCAGGACTTATCTCCATATATTTGTACAGTCTATCGCTCTGCTGTTCAGCTTAAAAAGACTTGTCCAAGGTCACAAATTAAAACAGAGCTGGAAAGGCACGTAATTTCTAGTTGGAAGACAAAAATAATAACAAGCCTTCGGAACTTTGTCTTTTAACACTGGGGCAGACGATAAACAACTCCACAGCCAACGCAAGCTTATCAGCACATGCGCAATATAAAGAAGACAGTTTTTATGGTGTTTGTGATAGAGGAGAAGTTACAGCACCTCAGCGGGCATGTGCATGAGCAACACAGCAGCAATAGGGGCCTGAGCCTGGCAGTATCCCTCCTCAGGTCTGTACAGAGTATAGGCCTTAAGAACACGAAACAGGTCCTGCTGTCTGCACAGGATCAAAACAAAGACACGCAAAACCGTTAAGACACTCATCACTTCCAGTGTGTAATGCTGCTTCACGTCAGCTTACCCGTGTCCTCCCCGTGACACAAACATCTCATGGAAAGGAAACTGTCGATGGAGGTCTTTCTCAATCACATCGAGCCATTTGGGGTCCCCTGACTGGCTATCCAGTTCCTGACAGAACATTGACGAGATGTGACATCTCTTTAGTGCACAGTAACAGCAATTTGGGCTTTCAAAAAATTCAGAAAGTGATATTCTAGAAGATTTAATGATCACGGGAAATACCTTTTGCATTAAAATACCTGTATTTAAACAACAATAAAAATTGTCACAGAGAATAATTGTTGTATCACTGACCATAAAAACAACCAGTGATTTTCCATTGTATACTGAATGATCTAAATGTGAACTGGCTCCAGTCCAATGCACAAAAAAAATCAGAAGTAACACTGGTGCATGCCCAGTTTCAGTAACACTTTCAAATGAAATTTAAAAATGAAATGAGCCCATATAACAGCATCGAAAGAGCTGTAAAGAGGAAGAGAAAGAAGCTCTTCTCTGACCTGAAACTTTCCTTGGTTCTGCTCTTTCTTCACCTTCCCTCCTGACAGGTAGAGCCATGCACGCCCTCGCAGGGCAGGAGGGATTCCTTTCTGGCACCGCAGCCTCACCTAACCCGCAGGGGGACAGGGGTTCCCCAAATCAAGCATGACATAAAGGGAACAAGAGCAAAGAAGGCACGAGCCATTATGTAAGCTGCTACAAACAGTCCATCATCCTATTACTTGGTATTGGCTGCTTTTTTGGAAACATGTGAAGTGCAGTTATCCGTTTAAATCTTTGAATAACAGCTCATATTTCGATGAGTCAGTAAAGCCACAGTGTATTACAACAAAGTTCTTATACTCAATCAAACATCCACTTGTACTTAGGTAAAATGAGCACAACTGATCATCAGTTTTGTTTAACAATTTATGACCTTGATGAGAATTTTTACACTGAGGGTAATGTGAAATTCACATACACCCACCAGCCACTTTATTAGGTACACCTGTACAGTCATATGCACTCAATGCAACACTTCCACCTTAACATCTGTGTTTATTAAGGTCAAAATCAATTAAAACAGAGCTGGAAAGGCACGTAATTTCTAGTTGGAAGACAAAAATAATAACAAGCCTTCGGAACTTTGTCTTTTAACACTGGGGCAGACGATAAACAACTCCACAGCCAACGCAAGCTTATCAGCACATGCGCAATATAAAGAAGACAGTTTTTATGGTGTTTGTGATAGAGGAGAAGTTACAGCACCTCAGCGGGCATGTGCATGAGCAACACAGCAGCAATAGGGGCCTGAGCCTGGCAGTATCCCTCCTCAGGTCTGTACAGAGTATAGGCCTTAAGAACACGAAACAGGTCCTGCTGTCTGCACAGGATCAAAACAAAGACACGCAAAACCGTTAAGACACTCATCACTTCCAGTGTGTAATGCTGCTTCACGTCAGCTTACCCGTGTCCTCCCCGTGACACAAACATCTCATGGAAAGGAAACTGTCGATGGAGGTCTTTCTCAATCACATCGAGCCATTTGGGGTCCCCTGACTGGCTATCCAGTTCCTGACAGAACATTGACGAGATGTGACATCTCTTTAGTGCACAGTAACAGCAATTTGGGCTTTCAAAAAATTCAGAAAGTGATATTCTAGAAGATTTAATGATCACGGGAAATACCTTTTGCATTAAAATACCTGTATTTAAACAACAATAAAAATTGTCACAGAGAATAATTGTTGTATCACTGACCATAAAAACAACCAGTGATTTTCCATTGTATACTGAATGATCTAAATGTGAACTGGCTCCAGTCCAATGCACAAAAAAAATCAGAAGTAACACTGGTGCATGCCCAGTTTCAGTAACACTTTCAAATGAAATTTAAAAATGAAATGAGCCCATATAACAGCATCGAAAGAGCTGTAAAGAGGAAGAGAAAGAAGCTCTTCTCTGACCTGAAACTTTCCTTGGTTCTGCTCTTTCTTCACCTTCCCTCCTGACAGGTAGAGCCATGCACGCCCTCGCAGGGCAGGAGGGATTCCTTTCTGGCACCGCAGCCTCACCTAACCCGCAGGGGGACAGGGGTTCCCCAAATCAAGCATGACATAAAGGGAACAAGAGCAAAGAAGGCACGAGCCATTATGTAAGCTGCTACAAACAGTCCATCATCCTATTACTTGGTATTGGCTGCTTTTTTGGAAACATGTGAAGTGCAGTTATCCGTTTAAATCTTTGAATAACAGCTCATATTTCGATGAGTCAGTAAAGCCACAGTGTATTACAACAAAGTTCTTATACTCAATCAAACATCCACTTGTACTTAGGTAAAATGAGCACAACTGATCATCAGTTTTGTTTAACAATTTATGACCTTGATGAGAATTTTTACACTGAGGGTAATGTGAAATTCACATACACCCACCAGCCACTTTATTAGGTACACCTGTACAGTCATATGCACTCAATGCAACACTTCCACCTTAACATCTGTGTTTATTAAGGTCAAAATCTTTCAGTTTTGGTGAAATTGTCATAAATGTATAAATTCAATTATATGTTATTATTGAGGTCATAGTTAAAGGTGGTGTTATACTGGACTACATTATATTCAGAGGTGTTCCTAATACTCTGACCCTCTCATGTATGTAGCTGGGGAGGACAAAAATATAGAGACACCTCTAAATACTGTATAATGTAGTCTAGTACTTCACAAGAAGTATCCGAGTACAGATGCAGCTATAATCTGTCATAGAGAAGTACAAGGCATTGTTTACACTACAGATTGATTAACCAGATAGAAAAGATAATATTGCCATCTTTATTACACTTTGCATTGCCATTTCTGGACACTTTTATTCACTATTTCTAATATGGAGCTGGCACACTTCCCAAACAAGAGGACCATTTCTGCTGTAAAGCTGATGTAAAACAAGCAACAAATATATGAGCACAATAAAGGATTAAAAATTCAGACCTTCTCTGTATGGCCTCTGTGCCTACCTGCACCACAGGAAAACTGCTTTCTTCTCAGCTTAATGCTTGTCAATTAGAAGAGCTGCATTGCACTTGAGTATAGCTATAGTTTACCCACAGCAACTTTATTTTAGAGTTTTCTCAAAGTCAGGATAGCTCCACTCTAAATCAACTCACAATGTGTCACGTTTTTGACAGGGTGATAAAGGGATGGGTTGTGTCCTGCCCTGCTGCTCACTCTGGGAAACAAGGTAACGCAGCTTTGTACTGAATCGCCGAGAGCAATTCACAAGAAAAACAGTTAGACAAGTGCAGCTGCAAACAATGTCTTGTCCTTGTGCAATCAAATACTTGAGCAACACCATTTCCATCATCTGAGCACATATACAGTACAGAACTACTCAGGAACAAAAATCTGCCACCTGGAGACAATGGCAGTAAAGCTCAGACACCAATTTTAGAAAGCAACAACTTAGAAAGAATGAAACCAAGTCATATCTGGTCAATCTACATGGCCAGCACATACAAACCAGCCACCTGACGTTTTGTGCTACTGAGTTAACACTTGGCACTGACCTTATCAAATCTCTTGATCATCCACTTGTCCCAGTGGTTGAGCATGTCCAGCCACTTCACCTCCCTGTGCCTGAGCACCTCTGGAGGCACATCCTGAGCTCTGGAGACACATCAGAGAACACATTTAAAGGCCTCACTTTTAAATCAAGATTAAATCAAATGAAACCAAAAAAGATTCAACTACAGTTTAAATACAGTTCTCAGTTTTGAAGAGGGCACATGGGCTGGGTGATAAAAAGATATGTACTAAAGATATGCAATAAAGGCAGCTGGAGATAAACATCCAAATTACATACACATAAAAGGCAGTTGCACAGTAACTAGCAGGCTCCTGTATGTTGGGAGGGTGTAACAGGAACAAAAAAACATCCTATGAAAGCCTGTTTGTCTTTCTGCATGTGCCATCAGATCTGTGTGGCCACTGCTCATATGCAAGCAGCAAACTGTGATGAGTCAAAAATAACAACTAGTAGACTGTTTTGAGGAAGATGGTAAAACAAGACTAAGATAGAGCCCAACCCGTTTAATCTCAGAGAGCTGCAGTCAGGCTTTGTCTTCCATATGATGTAATTTAACTACAAACATATACAAGCACAAAAAATTAAGGGTTTCAGATTATATTCTCCAGCAGAAAAAAACAACACAGGCAAGTATAACCCACAATATGGATGAGGTCTGCTGCTTTACTAAGCTATGTAATTATCTCATAAGCACAGGCCTGTAATTGCAGGGTTCAGGCATCTTCAAAGAACTTTTATCAATGTTATACCATGGTCTCAGCTTCCTAAGACTTGAGTGTCTTGGCTTCCAAAGAGTGCCAAATAGTGTAAGCTAAAATCTTGGTTTGTGACTACCGATAAAGCTGAACCAGAAGAGGCCCTCTAGTAACGGGGCGCCAGAGCGGTGGCTCCAAGTCTGCCAAAACTCCAAGAAACAGGCAACTCCCAGCCAGTGCCTGGCACACCTTTCACTATTTCAGTGCTGTAATATGCAGGCCCTGGCTTAAAAAGGGGCAAAAGACAGGGCTTCATGTTATCGAATAAAGATGCTACTTGTTATCACTCTATCTCCATCTGCTTCCCTCTTGCTTTTATATTTGCCATGCTGAGTGAGGCAAACAGCGGATTCAAAACACACTGTGCCACGCAGAAGGTTGGGAACTCTGTTGTGCAGGGGCAACCAGACAACAACGCCAACACTGTGATATGGCATTATAACTAGGTTACATTAGTCGCTAGCTACAATACAGGTCTCTAGGCTTTTGCTGAACTGGTTTTAAATTGTACTACTGATTTTAGTTAGCCCAGAGTAAACTGGCAAGAGAACAGAGGAAGTTGATGGGAGTGAGCTGAAACACTTACAACTCCTCTGAGTACTGCTGTGCCCCACCAATAAATCCATATTTATCGGTTCGTCTGTCGCTGGTGAAGCCGTTGATCTCTGAGTCGGATCCCAAAGAGCTTTCATCGTCGATGTGGCTGCTGTTAATAGTCCGGATACTCCTTGTGTCCACTGACTGGCGGCCGTTCCCTATTTTTGCCATGGTAGCAAGAAAGCTAGCTCGCTAGCTAACGTCAGCGAGCTTGTTGACAGCCCGAAGTCAAAACTGCTCATCTGCATATGTTGTCGACTCAAACAGCACCGACGCCATGATTTGTAGACGTAGAGCAAAATTTTAAACTTCCAACTACTTTCTCTTTAACTGTTATCTAAAGCTACAACTGTCAGGCCACATCAATTGTTATGCGTTAGCTAGCTGGGTCAAGTTGTCTTATCCAGATATAACATAAGCTAGTTAACAGTGGGTTACTAACGCAAAGTCAGCTGTAACTGCTCGCGCCAGCGTTATTTCTATACAGACCTTACATTGAACAAACTACAGCAATATTATCAGCTTGGTTTTCATATTTTAACTAATTTTAGCTGGCTAAGAGATCAGTCTTTCATGTTCTCAGCCAACGGCGGGTCGTCTCGCCGTCCTGTCATCCGGAGTGTCTTGAACAGATTTCGCCTCGACCAACAACCAGTCCGTTGTCCTGGTTTGGTTTTAGCGTCATAATGTTATGACTACCCCTAGTGGCTGTCCTGGAAAGTTAATCTTGTCTGGAGCACTTACAAAGTCGACGGCCTGGATTTAGGTCTCCTGTGCTGCAACCATCTAAATCTAACGCTGAGCACATTCCCAAGCAAACCACCTATTCTGTTGTATTTAGTCTACATCACTGACACTGGGCGTTTGTGCACTTGTTAATCCATGTTGTGCTAATCACATTAAGTAGTTTCTGACCACACACCATCATGAAATAAAGAATTTTAAA